CGCCCCCCCTCGGTCATCGTCTAAAGTTCTTAAAATTTCTCCTCGATTTTTTTCTTCATTTGCATTGTTTTAAATATTTTTCGCCTATTTGCGGGTTTTTAATATTTTTCGGCACATTTGGGACGTTTTAAAAAATGCCCGATCAGGGGAGGAGGCTTCCACGAGGTGACCCATACGCTCCCCGTGCCCAACTTTGTAGAGCTGATGGAGACCGCATGCGCACACCCAGCAGCGTTTCGTGTTGTTGTTGTTGTTGTTGTTGTTGTTTTTGTTGCCTGGCCTGGCTGAAGATTGCCGTTCAGGCTTGCTTAACACGAACAGACGAACTTCGTCGCCCGTTCATGTATCTGTCGATTTGGTAAGAAATTGTCTGTCGAGATGTAGACAGTCTTTTTGTCATTTGTCTCTCGACGATCCTGTACGGCGTGGATCCTGTAAGCCGTCACGATGATAGCCCAGGTCAACACAGGAGCTCGGTCTTCTTTGGGTTGTCGGTTATCAGATAGAGGCCATGCTCGCTGCACTGCAAAGACTCCTGGCCTCCAGTGAACTGTTTGAACTCATTGTTGATGCGTTCCAAGTCCACGGACGTCTTCCTTGCGTACACGGCCACGTGCCACTCTCGGCTCATGCGCTGAAAGGCCTCGCGCTCCTCGTCCTCATCATAGAGCTTGTCGACCTCCGAGTTCTCCACGGTGCCGTCCCCGTCCTGGCTGCTGCCCAGCGTCTCCGTCCACCACCCACATTGCAGGCCTCCCCAGCGGACCAGGTGACGCGTGCCATAGTGAGACACGGGGCCACCAATAGCTGTCTGCACAGCACGAGGGAGCTGCCGATCACCCTGTGATGTGTCGATGGCCCCCAAGAGCCTCAGCTCGTAGTCTTGCTCCAGGACTCTAATATCGGTGGCTGGAGCGGACGGGCGAAACGCTGCCGTGTTAGGGAAGCTGTCGTTGGTAAGGACTATGAGTGGGGGCGCTGAGAAGTCGGTGCCAGAAGCACTGCTGTCAGACTGCCGCAGCTGGCTGAGTGTCGCTTCCACCGAGGCGCTGCAGACGGGCGCGAGACGCGTGCGCACAGGGTCGGACGTGTTGTCCCACGGCACCCACGCCGCATCGGTTATGTCTCGACACAAAACCCCAACGCCACGACGCCGGAGGCTAGGGAATTGCTGGCCAGCACCGTTGCAGATCAAAGGCAGGCTGCCGAGTAGGGTGCCGATAACGTGGCCCTGTCGCTCCATGAATCCTGCAATCCCCTTCTTGCCGCGGTAGGCGAGCACCCGCCGCAGGACTGATGCGATGTTGTGACGCACTGACTGCGGGTTCACTGCATCGCACCCTTTCACGATGCCATTGTATACAGACGGGATGGTAAGAGCGATGCGCAGGAAGGTAGTGAGCACACCATCGCCGATGGGCAGATAGGGCATCGCCTGCGGACGTAAACCATGACGATCGATGAACTGCGATATGAGGAGTGGCCGCGTCTTGTCCGGCTTTGGTTTCATCTGTCCCCCCTGCGCCAACTGTGGAGAAGCTGCCTGCGGTGCGGGCGCCTGCTGCTGTGCGCCGGCTGCCGTGTGGTGGTCCAGGGAGACACTGGGCTCGCTCGAAGCCATGACCATGTGCTTCCATTTAGTGGCCGCGCACTCAGCAGGAACGTACATTCCCGTCCCCGCACATCTGTTCACCTGAAGTGAGCAAACATAGGCACAAAGTGCAGATGGTCAGATGGTCCAGCACACCTTGGCATGCGTCATGTCTCGCTCCGTCGCGTCAAGGAACTGCCGCATTTCGGAGATCATGTATCGGGGAAGGATTCGGCGGCTCTCATGGTAGAACAGCAGGTCTTGCCGGTAGTTGAGCACAATGCGCTCGATCTCTTCGAACCGTCCCGAGGGATCGATGATGTTCCACCGGTTTCGCTTTGTAATGTTGAATGATCGGAGGCCCCTGTAGCCTCCAGACAGCTCGACCTGCACATCACCGTTGATCAACGGATATTATAAACACAGGTCGGTCGCCTACCATGTGCGATGAGTGCGAGTTGAACCGCAGTCTGCCTGCCTTCTGAACGCAGGGAGAGACACGAGCCGCGGCCAATCGGTCGATCCCGGGCACCTCCGTCACGTCTGGCACAGGCGGTCGAGGGACGTGCACAGCAGACACCCCGCCCTTCTGATGCAATGGGCACATGCCGATGCACAGCCCCTTCGTTGGTAAGTAGTGTAAAGGCGGCATCGCCGTCCAGTACTTCAGTAGAGGGTGCGGCCCGCTCGTGAAATAGTCAGGGCGCAGGCCAACGGAGAAACGCTGATAGATGTTGATAGCCGGAGACACGTACTTAAGGTCGATGACGTCAAGGATGTGCTCGAAGGGGACCCAGCAGGCCTCGTCGAGGAAGAAGTTGCACCCCAGCCCGCAGACATGCTATGTATACCCACAACGAACAAAGGTTTGAGACAGCACCTTTACCCGATCTGTGCCTGATGGCGCTTACTTCGGGCATGGCGTGATCGTTGAGGCTGTCGATTATGGCGCCTGCGCGGCCTGCACGCTTTCTGGCCATGAAAAAATTATACTCCTCTGTGACATCACGGAAGTGATGTGATAGGGAAGCGTCCTCCATCATCACCTGCAGCCGGGTGTCCCGAGCATGGCCGTCTTGTACGATAAACTCTGGCGCGCCCTCCCACAGCCTGCGAATGGACGGGTCGAGGGCCCTCCAGAGTGTGGAGCCGCACTCGAATCGCCGATATTTCAACAGCTCCCAGAAAGTCGCCGCCCATCGCCAGCGCCAGTCTGCTGCCGTCACGGTAGGCTTTGTCAGATATGTTCGGCAATCAGTGCAAACGATGAACGCTCGTATGTCTCCGTCGGATAGCTGGCGACTGATGTCACCGCAGCGTCCCGCGCGAATTGCCAGCTTGCCGCTGCGGAGGTCATGTGAGGTGAGGACACAGCCTTTCACGTGGATTGACGGATGGCGCCGCTCTCCTGCGACGTCTATACGTCGCCGGCAGTTCTCGCAGCGCAGCAGATGAGGATCGATGTCCTGCGTGACCCCACCAGTCGTCGTCGAAGTCGATTGGTCGCCTTCAAAGAGTTGTCGCAGCGGGCAGTTCCGTGACGACTGTTGAGGGTGACTCAAGCGGTCGAAACAGTATCGACACGACGCCTGTGCGCTGAACTGCATCACGTCAGTTTCCTCTTCGTCACTCATCTCATGTGCCGGCTCTTCAGCCTCACCGACTGTCTCAAGTCCATCGTCCCCAAAGAGAAGGTATGGACAGTTGCGGGCGTCGTGATCCTCCTGATAACATATCCGGCAGCGTCGCCGTCGGGGCCCGTTTACCTCTCCTTCTGGCGGTGCTTGCGGACAGGTGCGAATGTCGTGCCCCGGCAAATGACATCGGCTGCAGCGACGCTGTCGAGCGGCCGTTTGTTCATGGTGGGCAGCCAAGTAAGACGGACACGTCCGAATGTTGTGACCAGTGCGACCACAATGCGAGCAAGACTGGATCTGCGGATGGCGTCGGCGCCGTCGTTGTTGCGGCTCATCTTCAGCACCGTCTCCCTGCTCGTGGATACGCTGCATGTTCCCATACAAGCTGTGCATAAGCCGGTTCCAGCACTCTTTCAGCACCGCCCCAAAGCCACTGTCCGTAGCCACCCAGTCACCAAGATACGAGCGTCCGACACTCTCCCCCCTGCAAGACACCACACAACAAACGCAACATGTTTGCGTGCCATTCGTTCCAAAAGGATCCAATTTAGCGGCATTCGCATGGTCCAAGGTCCATTTCATTGTCAAAGCTCTCAAACTCTTGCTCTCAGGACTCTCAAAGTCTCGCTCTCAAGGTCTCTCAGAGTCTCGCCCTCAGGGCTCTCAAAGTGTCGCTCTCAGGGCTCTCAAAGTCTCGCTCTCAGGGCTCTCAATGTCTCACTCTCAGGGCTCAGCCAAGCGCCTTCTCCCCTTACCAACCCCCACTTCCCCCCACTGCACTGCAGCAAGCTGCCTCCCTCCCCTTCCCTTTCCCCGTCTTGAAAAAACTCTTGATGCCTGTCTGAAAAATCAGCAATTGAGCGAAATGCGTGCAGGCACCTACGTGTTGGTGTTGTTGTTGTTATTGTTGTTGTTGTTCGATCGGTTGCGGCTATGGCCACGGCCACGCCCGCGGCGAGGGCCACGCGAACGACGACTTGAAATGGCCATAGCAGACACATAGAGACACAGAGAGACTCTGAGGCTCAAACACTGCAAGTACAAAATGTGTACTAGTTACCGTGTTGCTGGGGTGTGTGATTGCCGACGGCGACGGTTCTGTGGCAATCTCCGCTCCCACTTTCTCCTCCCTCCCGCCCCTCCTCTCTTGGTTGGGAACCGCAGCAACGAAGGGATGTACAGAAACAGGAGGAACCCGTCGTGCAGCTGGTTGGTGTCGCCGTCGGGGCTGACCAGCGCGTCTGCCGCCTCCATCACGTCAGCCATGTTGATCCTTGCTGGGGGGGGATCCTTGCCTCCGTCGGGATGCCCATGCGCCAGGCCGCCGAGTGCTGCTCCTCTGTGCGGTTCCTCAGGAGCGCCAGCCCTCTCTCCGGGATCGTCTTGGTCGGCCCACGCGTGCCGTTGCGTGCTGATGCGGCGCGGCGGCTGCCGCCCCCATTGTGGTCTCCCCCGTCGCCGCCCCCACCCGTGCCGTCGCCTGGCTCGTCGGGGTTCCCGCCATCGCCGCCTCCTCCTCTCGCCGCGACACGCCCTCGCCCCCCGCCTCGCCCCCTCCCCCGTCCTCTCCCTGACCCTCTGCCGCGTCATCTGCCGCCTCTGCCCCCTCTCGTGTTGCTGGCATGGTTGTTTGCGTTTGTTGGCGGCTGAGGGGGTCGTGGAGGTGGTTGGGACGGTTGAGAGGGC